TCAAATGTGGGTTTAGCACATGTAATGGAAGTGTATAGGCTTAGACATGTTTCGAGGCTTATTTACTCAGACGGTCTTAGCAGCTTAAGTCATGCTTATCAAAATCTCTCCAGTGTTGAAGCAGCTTAGGGTGATGCCGTCGAAAGCCGGCAAATGCCTGCTGTTCCTCCATACATGAGGGAGGTGGGGACAGTTCCTGAAGGAGGCCTCAACGAATCACTTGTCCATTGAAGTGTTTGATCAGGGTGTAAGCAACCTTTGGGTCTATATCCCACTGAATGCTTAGAACAAAATGCATTCCCTCCCCAACCTTTGGGTCCATATCCCTAAGTTCCTCAATGCTTATCTTAGCCCTCAATGGCTTATCTTAGCGAAAACCCAGTGCCTAGTACGTACAGTAATAGAGAGTTATTTCCATGATGTTTACAAAAAAACGAGGAACTGAGTGTCCTTGAAAGAATGCTATTATGCTGAAATATTATAAGGTATACCTTGTAGGGTCATTCCTGGGCGAAACTAGGCGCTTAGTTTGAATGCCTGACATTCCGGCTGGTTCAACTCCCTTACAAGCCTAGTCGCCAGTCGAGCTTAGGCTTTGAACTTTTCCTTAACAAGCGTTCGATCCACTCCAGGAGTTAGTGGATGACTATGAAGACTGTACTGCTTTCAATAGATCGTTTCCACAACACACCATACTCACCAGATCTCTTTGCATCACAGTTGTAGGGTAGTTGTAAACTGTTCGTTATAGTAAGCAGCTAAATGCTATGGAGCAAGACGTATTTTGACAAAGAAGAAGAGGAAAAGGGACTCAATCCATCTACACAGGCCGCTATATCTGTGTACATCCGCATGCGGCTTACTGTGTCTCCCATGCGTTCGAGTTTTTTATTTCATTAAACACAGCAAAAGAACTGTACAGCGACTGCGAACAACTCAGAACCAATCCGAAACAGCTTTGAATTTAAAAAAACGCACCACACGACTAAAATTTTTGGGTTGAAGGCACAGGTATCCTTTTCAGGTTGGAAAGTGGAGTGTTGATGTAGAAGAATCGGTAGCGAAGATAGCGAGAAAATCCGCTTACTTCAAGGCTTTTCAAAAGTAGTGGAAGGGGATGTACGAGATCACCTTGACGGTAATGGCATGTAAGGGGCGTTTGGACGAGATTTAACTCGCTCCCATGCGCAAAGAGATGACTACATCAAGCCGAACTTGCCCAAAATTGCCTTTTACTGTCGCCATGGGTTACGCTAAATTGTTTGAACTTCCTACATGGAAGTCCCTTGAGATACTGCAGCCTCTACAAAGCCTTTGAAACGCGTCCATTATGGGTGTGGCATACACACGATACAATCTCTGGCTCCTTATTGTGCCCTGTCAAGAACGTTTTTCGACCTTACAAGGGCAGCTATAGTATAAGGGGGAGTCCGAGTTTATACTATAGGAAAACCTCAAAAACCCTTTTTCATCCTGAACTGTGCCTTCAGAGTAATTGGATAAGTCGCATGTCCTCAGTGAGTTGTTACTGTGTTCTAAATTTTGTGGTACAGTGAATTTTACTTCTCATGCGATGAAACTCAAGACTACCAAACTTTCGTTCCTCTATGCCTCTCACTGCTTTGAATACATCGGAGTGAATGAGGGTAGTGAGCAAATAAAACAAACAAACAAACAAACAACTAATTATTTAATTAATTAATTAACGAAACTAAATGATCAAATAAACTGGTCAACCCCCATTTTATCAGTTCACCCACTGTATGCCTCGAGTTTATACTCTTTGTTTACACCCAAACTCAAACTACAGTAAAAGAAACTGTAATCGTGTTTGTATAGTAATCGGTCTACGCAAAACAAACACCTGACGTCAAACAATCTTTCCTTTCCTTAATCGTTCGCTGGTAGTCCTTCTTCGGAAGTGTATATCCCAACTTTCGGTCGTGCACGGAAGCCTTCGTTAAAACCCCTCAGTTGACAGTAACATCTTCATCAAAACTTGTGTAAGCTGACGTTGCCTGTTATGGTTGTGGTCGATTGTGACCTAATGAGTCAGTCTGCAAATATTAGCTTAGGTCCAATGGCCATTCATCACAAGACGCTTTCCTTGGTAATTACATTGGTCCCGATTCCAATCAATAGCGTACTAACCAGTAAAACTACATCGCTTACAACCGTGCATGATCGAATTATTTTATTTCTCATCCTTATTTAACCCTCTGAACCTTCATTAGCCTACCCTGATCTATCCACCAATTGGAGGGCTCCCTTATCTAAAAGCAATTCTCACTCCCTTCATTCCCATTTCAATTATTTCAGAAGAAGGTTATGTGAAGTTTTTCGAGATCGCATTTTCATTACGGTACCTAGGGGAGTGGTGTGAAATTATTGCGGCCAAGTAGGCGCGCGAAAAGCGTCTTTTCAAACATCCATGCGGCTTCGTGGCGGCGGTTTCAGCTGTCGCTCCCGTTTTCCCACTCGTGTCTACATTGTTGTGCATTTCTTCATCTCTCTTTCTCTTCATCCTTCTTCTTAGAGTAGCAGGGGCCTTCCTTGAATTTTTTTTCTCAAATACTGCCATATTTCAACAGAGATACATTTGTAGGTGCAATAGTCTGATGCAACTCCGCTTTTTCTCTTTGCGTTTTAGATGAACGGTTAGGACGAATGCTTGGCCTAGGTTTGAATCGGGAGATATCTTCTTTATCTTTCGCTTTTCCTTCCACAGCGTAAGGGTGTTGTTTATCAAACTCCACTGATTCCAATTTGTTACACTTTACTTTTGGATGTGTTTCGCTCGAACACCTGTAACTTTGTTTACAACATCGATTTGCATGGTGGACCGGTTACTGCAGGGATGATCGCGGACCACCGAAATCAATCCATTGCTTTTCGCTTCAGTCCATCGAAAGCTACACTTAGCAGTGTACCTGTACCCCATGAATTTGATCCATACTTATGGCGGCAACAACCAAGCTGTCATTTTAATTCGAAAGTCCCGCCTATCCAAACGTCATTTATGGTGGCGCTTCACTAAACTGGCAGCGTCATAGTCCGCTATTCGGGATACGCGACATAGCGTTCGGCGTCAGGAATGGCGTTATTGCATCGCGTGAGCCATAGTGCGGCAATCAATACCGCATGATTTTGTTGCATCATGTCACAATCAAACAGGCTCCCTTCTCCGCCTACGCCCTTCACTGATACAATTTTTGAACCTGAGCGTATTTGCTGGACGCCATTTTTGTATCCATCGCGCACTATGAAAACGATTTTATGTAAAAAAGTAAATTCAGGACCGTATAACGTTGAACAAAATCATTGTACCTTGTTGGACTTCGTTTGATCAGATGAGAGGGCAGAAAGAGTAAAGAATATGTCAGTGGTCTTCAACACAACTTAAGGGCAGTGGTCAAGTAAAGGAAGAAGTGTGGATGTAGCATGAACGAATGAGGCAAATTCTAATGCTGAACAGTTGGGCACTACTTCAAAAACATGAGTGGTTGTTTGCTCTTTCTGTTCATGTTTGCATGAATGTGAACAATGGTGGATTTGTAAGCATTTTCGACAATTTATCTCTAAACTAATAAATAATGACCCGAAAACGAAATTGCGATAGGAAAAAAGAAACGGAATTCGAAAAAAAAGTTTGAACAGTCGAACGTCGCATTCATACTAACGCCTCCGAGGCAGCCGTCGATCGATTTGTGCGGGTCGGACTGTGGATGTAATGATATTCGACTATTAAAGCGTATTCGTACTGTAGTCTGTCTCGAGTTCTAATATTACGGGTACTCTTCTTCTGAGCCGATAAAACCTATTTTTTAAGAAGGGGAGGGGCTCCGGGGTGGGTGCGATGGTTATCTCGTGCAAAAAGCTGAGTTAATATAAAAATTGAAGGTCTAACTGGCTCACCCAACCCGGAGCCCCCTCCCCCCTTCCAGAAATCAGGTGAAAAATACACAGTTATAACTTAAAAAAGCT